ACAGTTTATTTGTTTTTGATTGTGATATTTTGAATTATAAAAACTAATAAAAAACAATAAAGCTCTTTTTTCTTTTTCTTTTTATTGCGCTTTCTTTTTTTTGTTCTTTCTTTGTTAATTTATTTAACTCATCCTTTTATTTTCAAATTTTTACTTTTATTATTAATTAATTAATCTTATTATTTCATCTTTTTTCTTCATTTTCTCCTTCTAATTAACTATTTTATGATATATTTTTTCTTTAATATTTAAAAAGTAAGAATTAAATTGGTGACGAAGGTGCATCAGGCTTAGGTTCTGGTTTAGCAAATTGCATTAATCTCTCAGATTTGTCACTTAACCTTGAGTAAAAACAGTTTATTTATTTTGGATTGTGATATTTTGAATTATAAAAACTAATTAAAAACAATAAAGCTCTTTTTTCTTTTTCTTTTTATTGTGCTTGCCTTTTTTTGTTCTTTCTTTGTTAATATATTTAGCTTGTCCTTTTATTTTCAAATTTTTTACTTTTATTATTAACTTATTAATTAATCTTATTATTTCATCTTTTTTCTTCATTTTTTCCTTCTAATTAACTATTTTATGATATATTTTTTCTTCAATATTTAAGAAATTGTAATAAAATTGGTGACGAAGGTGCATCAGGCTTAGGTTCTGGTTTAGCAAATTGCATTAATCTCTCAGATTTGACACTTGACCTTTAGTAAAAACAGTTTATTTATTTTGGATTGTGATATTTTGAATTATAAAAACTAATTAAAAACAATAAAGCTCTTTTTTCTTTTTCTTTTTATTGTGCTTGCTTTTTTTGTTCTTTCTTTGTTAATTTATTTAGCTCATCCTTTTATTTTTAAATTTTGTACTTTTATTTTTAATTAATTAATTAATTAATCTTATTATTTCATATTTTTTCTTCATTTTCTCCTTCTAATTAACTATTTTATGATATATTTTTTCTTTAATATTTAAAAAGAGAGAATTAAATTGGTGACGAAGGTGCATCAGGCT